AAGGATGGAATCACTTTTGATGTCTCTGCAAAAGAAAGATCGAGGATGCCAGAAAAACTGCTATCTAAAGTACAAATCCCTGAGATGCGGTAGGCGTGGATGAGCGCGGCGGCGGTTACGCTTTTGATAGGGTATTACCTATTTGACAATTGTGATGGCCTCTATCCAGCACAAGACAATCGCAGTTGCTCGGATGGAAATACCCAACGAATAACCCACCCTGTCATGATCCAATAAAGTACGCAGTCACGCGTGGAAAACGGCTAAGGCAATCGTGATTTGCCGAAACGTCGCGCGCGGCGATGGGAAGGCGTTTTCTTGATTTTCATGCCGTCGACTGGAGCACCGGACACCATTAGGAACACGACATCGCAGCCTTTCATGGATATTTTTGGTTATATATTGTCTACAGTGGCCATCCATAACATCGTCATTTTTCGGGGGCGACGTCGCACGCGAAGCCTATCAGCGCGGCGGATTATGATGTCTTGTCACATACTCGTCACGCCTACCGCGCCTCAGGGATATGAAGTGTACGCTGCATGAATATTTCAATCTTACCTATGAATAACACGGCGCGAATGAAGAAACTCCAGCGCTCTCAACACTTGCAGTGAAACAGTGGCAATCTGTGGTTCCGTCATCCTACATAGCAAATTTTTAGTGAAAGCACCTATGAACTCCAAACACTAGCTAAAGCCCCTTCTTCATCTTTGCGATGTAAAGAATGATACGATAGATACGTGATAAGGCAGCCTTCAGACTCCGCGATGGCGCGTGTCGACACCCTACAACTGCAACACCACCCCAATCCTGTCGAGGCGAACGCAGCCGCAGAAGGGAATCGATTGGCACCGACCGCTTGAGTTTTGAATACCTGTGGGATAACAGGAGCGAGGCGCTGCCTTCACACTTCCTAGCAGTCTTCCATTCTTCTATACTTTCCCAAATCCTAGCAGCCAGTGCCGACCGATACCAGACTGCGTGATTAGGTAATTCCTGTCCTGTTCCCCCATACTCTATCAATGCACAAGCGGCCGGGGCCAATCGATTCCCGTTTGCGGTCGTATTCGTGTCTACAGGGGGGGGGGCAAAAAAGTCATTTCGGCCGAGCCACATATCAACGAAGTTTTCGCAGCCCAGACAGGGGAAGTGGATATGAGTACCAGGGTGGAAGATACCCAAGATCTTCCTCTATAAGCTGGAGCACGCTGCCGCCAATCGCCTTCATGTACGCCAAAATATGAAGTCATCTCCAGTCGCGGCCTGACTGGAGAACACCTTTGGAATTCACGTCGCCTCCAAACAGCTGCGAAACTTCTTGAATGAAGTCATCCACAGATAGCTACCTGGAGGTCAGTACTCTTGATCTGCAAGACCTCCCACATCGACCAGCTACGGCAACGTCGCTACGGTCTAGGACATCATCTTCACCCCATTCACCAAGGCGCGGGTTGATGGTGTGGACCGGCCGTACCTGGAATGGGAAGACCGATATTTTCTTTGTAGACCCCGACTGAAGGTGAGCGCTGGCGGTTACATCAAGTAACTCGAGAAGAATATCCTCCCTACATGTGGTCGCCCGTACCTTCTTGGAGACCTTGTGCTGCTACAGGTTTGGGTGCCACCACATGGAATCAAAGGGTTTGGAAAAAACTCCCGCCTACTTCGAATGGAAGGGCGTTTCGTACCTGAAGAAGATGTAATATTGAAGTATGTCCCCTGACCTGAATCCACTCAGTTACCTAGTCGGGCGGAGTTCAAGAGGGTGGTCTACGGTGGCGGAGAAATCAACGATCTCGCTCAACTCCGGTACCCACTCACTTTCGCGCGGCCGAATCTCTCGATGGCGCTCCTCCAGAAGGCTGTGGCGGAGTATCGTTATAGTATTTAATGTGCTCTTTAATATGGTAGTAAAAATGTCCGATAAAAATTTAATAAAGTGTAACTTATAGCGCCTTGAAAGTCATGGAGGCAAAATGACTTTTTTTTGCCCCCCCCCCGTATATCCTTGGAACGCTGTTGCAATTGTAACTCGTTACAGCGCCTCGTCGCGCGTCATCGCCAAGTCTAAACGCTTTCGTAGTTGGATTGACAATATCCACATTCGCAAAGTATTAATCTAGAAAAAAATACCTGGTTTGTGTGACGATATCAGTTAATGAGCCTCCTTCCATGAATTCCATAATCACCCACAACTCATCGCCAACGAGATGTGATGAAAACATCCGCACAATGTTGGGATGCTGATAATCCCTCATGATAGAGACCTAAGAAACGAAACATGGCGGAATAAACCGATAAAAAACCAGAAAACTAATGGATACCTCATTGAAGAGCAACTCCCGTCGTTGTTGCTTTCGCAGATTCATTCGTTTCACGGCAACTATTTGTTTGGAAGAGACCTGCAATTTTTTTAGTGAAACAATACTTTTAGAGTACAAAGAGCTCATATGGAGCTCAGGCGCAGTTCGACCATAGCGGAGGGACACTTTGTAGACCCCTGCAGACTTATAGAAGATTACGAGTTTAATCTTCGAAGCATTTCTAGTTTTTGCCCATATTTGGTCACACTGTCTTTAGCTCGAGCGGAAATCCTCATTTCCATATATACCTTATTGCACTAAACGATGTCAGAATAAAGCTTAAAGTCTTCCACGTTGCTCAATCCCTTTCAAGGATGCGGCACGCATTCTACTTCCATTCAGAGTTGTAGCTTATTTAATGGGATGTGGCCTATACAATGACTTGTGAGGGTCATTCGACGTACAAGTAAATGTTCTTATCACCAAATGAATCTGTACCACGTTTCGTCGCCGCAAGAGAGATGGCTTGGTTGGCCTGGGCGGGAACCGAGTCGGGATTTGATCCCCGGACCGCGCGTGGTAAGCGTGCCACTTGCCGCTATACCACCTCCGCCTCAAATGCTCCACACAAAGAAGAAAACAACGAGAAAATGGTGTCAATTAAGCCCGTGCCGTTTCGCAGCTCTACAAGTATGTTACAATTTCTACTTGAAACAAACCTTATAAGCAGCCAATACAGTACCCGTCGATCCCTCACCGACCACTTTAAAATCGGCAAGGTCTGCACGTGGATCACTTCGATCGACAACGCTGGATAACGCAGCTCGGAACTAAAAAAAAACAACTAACTGTGCGACAGATGTTAGCATCACATAAAACCTACTTCTTCATAGCCAACACCATCATCGGTAGTTTTTTGGGGAGATACAATGGATGAAGGTACTGTCGAACTGGGTGATATCTGAAAAATTCCAAACTGCTTCGGCTACTACCAAAACACTTCTATGCTACGTGCAATTTTTTTCAATTATCAAGGGAACGGTCTGCGATAGAAAAAGTATTTAGATAAGGGTGCAGGAAGTCAGAGTAGGAGTTGCCAAGGGACCCGCAGTGAAGAGAATATACAGCAGGGAACGTCTGAAACACCTCTAATAGGACCCCTTAGGGCTCAACCAAGTGCACAAGCACAAGCTGAGAAAACTGTGAGTTGAGATAGATCCAGTCAGTTTATTCCTTACAAGGAATCCTACGACCTCAAAAGTGACAACAGAGCGTCCTTGTCATGCATCTCGTTTTCCGCTAGAAGGCGGAAATCGAAGGCGGTGTCAGGAGGCGGAGTCACTGAAGAGAAGACAGATGTCACTCGAGCAACTCTGCGACATCGTGTCTACCACAGAACTTTTCGCCGCGATGCTGGTACAAAGCTGCTACTGAGGACTAGTACTTTTCAACGCAATCTTTTACATTTTTATGAGTCAACGCGGGCCGTTCCTTTGAGTCAAGCGTCGACGGACTCGTCACAAGATTGCATCATGGAATCGTCCTACAACTCACCACTCCAGAATGCGCGTTATACGCAGCACCATTCTGCTGCCATGAAGCGACTTCTTTCGCTTTGTCATAGTGGTGTGGTGTAATATTTTCCGTAAGCATCGGAGACATTATACGGGCAGTACTTTGCTGACTATATGCGCCACCATTCTGAAAAACATCGTTTAGTAGACAGTACAATTTAAGACACGCACAAACTATAAACTCACTTTATCAGCGCCGAATGTCGTAACAGTAGGCGGTCTCAGTGGAAGAGGGGCGTAATTGGGATCACTGAAGGGGTAGCCACGTGCTTTCAACGATGGTTGTACAGATGGTGGCCGCATTGATGCCGCTGACGTACTGAAAGATGTGTAATTGTGACTCTCGTATGACTTCCACGTTGTTCACACTGCAACATGTCCAGATGAATTTACCGGATACTGTCCTGGCGAATCCTAATAAAGGACATCTGGCCCTCGCACTGGGACGCAAGTAATTAATTCAGAAAAATTGGGCAAATAGTTGTGTAATGCGATCCAAGGTGTCAAGAACCAACTGCTAGGAGGTTTCTCCAAGCATCCCCACACAAAAAAAATAATGCGTGTGGAAGTAATGAAAGCATCTACAGTCCTCAGCATAGCGGAACCTGTCGAGGCTGCGTTGAGCAGACAATAACCGATTTTCTAGGCAAAGTGAGTGGCTCACAAAAGAATTTAGGCGTGAGGTTGAATGCATTGCGATAGTCGGCTGCGGACTCACACCATATTTGACGCACTCTATCTGGAAAACAAACCCAGTTTTCCAAGAACAGGCCGGATCCTAATCGAGTTATTCTCTACGTGGGCAGATTTGGATGAAAGCTGGGTTTTAG